TGCTGGTTGCTCAAATTATCTGTTATGCTCACAATTCTGTCCTCCTGCTAACTACTGTAGAGTTGAATCACTGTCTCAACAAACATAAAATATTATATTAAAATTTTTTTTGCTGTTCTTATGTGTTACATTATATAGGGGTTTCTTTTTTGCTCACTGAGAGTAATTCCTCAGCACAGTTCTTCAAACTGTTCCCTTCCCATCCAACCACCCTCCCTCCCCTAGGCTTTACTTTCTGTGCCACACACAAGACAGATCTATCAATCAGCAGAACACACATCTACTGACAAGGCAGTGAGTGAGAACATCTAATTGTGCCAGTACACATATTGCTATAACAGAATAAAATAAGATGAATGATGTGCCTCCACTCTGATGTGCACACTAGATAAGCTTGAATTCCAAATTAAGCATTTTCATTTAGAGACTGTGGGCTTTTTGTAATTTCCTCATGTTCATTTAGTTGATCCTATTTTAGTGGCTTTGTTATAAGTGTACATTGTGACAAAAGTTATGATAAGGCAGAATGTTGAAAGTTTTTCAAAACAGTTTCATTTCCTAAATGTCATTAGTTCAGCAGAGATGAACTTATGAGAAGACAGAGCCATACCACAGGCATGATAAAATAAAAAAACTACTATGACTTCTATAATTGTAAACTGTAAATGTAACTTTTCAGATCTTGCAAAAATTCATGTTGGGACTGTTGATTCCATCAGTCATTGATTTTTTTCCATACTTTTCATTGTCCAAAATTCTGCTGATTAGTCTACTGATGTGTGTGGGTAATAGACTCCAGTTACTGATTGTAAAGGATTTGCAACTAACCTTTAAATGTGATGACTTTGTTTTAACTTGATCAATTTCTGTACTTTCTGTGCCATTAATGTGGCAGACTGTAAACAAAGGGTTGCAAAGCCTCCATTTATGTAGATGTTAACATCTCAAATTAATCTTTGAAGTTAGAATTTTAACCTCCGAATCACTGTTTCAATTTAAATCAAATGTGCTATAGTACAGAGCTGTGGTAATATTTTATGATTTATTTTGATTGCACTGCCTCAAATGTAGCTGAACTCATGCACCATTTCTTTCTTTCTCTTTGCCTCTTTTATTTTACAGTGAATTTTGACCACTTCCAGATACTGCGGGCCATTGGGAAGGGGAGCTTTGGAAAGGTAATGTAACCTTCCACCTGCACCTCTGCGCCTTCCATTCCCCAGCACAGTCATTATCTCCCTTACAGAATCAGAGTAAACCAGGCAAAACAGGTTGTGAAGGATTACACTTTCATCTTCATAATATTATGGTACCTAAAAGTACCATAGTAAATAATTTGTCTATTTAAATAATAGTTAGAAACACAGCTTATGTAATTATTTCTTTCAAGTCACTTAGAGGAGAGCCAATTTACTTTGCTTCTCACACCAGTGAACCTGTTGGGAGTTTTGACCCCACATCTCCATTTAATTGCACTGCAGCACATTAATGTGGCTGCATTTGTCATCATGCTCAGTGGTTGGGCTGAATACAGTGGGGAGGACAACTTGGCTTGTCTCTGTGTGGGTGCTGTATATTGTGAAATTAAATTACTGCAGCTCTTTTCAGCCTTGTCTCAGGTGCCAATATTGTCACTGGTAACCCCTGCTGATAAAACAGACATTTAGGATTAACTTGTGGGCCATTCATTAGTTGAAATATTCCTTTGTGTCCATATTGAATGTTGTATGAGACTTCAGTAATGAATTCAGGGCTGTGTGTGTGTGTGTGTGTGTGTGTGTGTGTGTGCGCGTGCGCGTGCGAACACACAACTGGGCTCCAAAGATCAGAATGGTTTATCTTCATTTTGAATCCCAAATATCATGGCTAATATTTGTTCATTATACTCGTGTCTGTGCATGCCTTTTGGAAATTCTCTCTGCTTTGCTCTTCTAAAAGCACAATCTTTTTCCAAAAACATGTCCTTATGTTATATGGAAAGTCATTGCCCAATACTGAATACATTACCATGTGAATTTATGTATTTATTTGTTTTAGACATTTTCATGGCTGCTGCTTTAGGCAAGACAAGCCAATTGCTTCATCCATGAGGCTGGAGAAACTGGTATGGTTGTTGCCTGCTTCCAGTTATGCAGCATCTTTAGCACATTCATGTTCACTCATACTTTTGTCCATGCAAATTCTCAGTCATCCAGGCCATAGTATGCTGAAAAAAGGTGAAGGTTACAAAAAAGATGAAGGTCACAGCTGCATTGGCCAGTGCCAAACTCCCACCCTCAAACCTTACCCCTGAGGATAGCAGGGCCTTGGCTGCCTTTGAGAAGGATGAAACCATAACAATCCTTCCAGCAGACATAGGCAGATGTACAGTAGTCCTTAACTCAGCCAACTATCAGACCAGAGCTTCTAACCTCCTCAGTGACAACACCATCTATGAAGCACTGAAGAGGAACCCCCAGTGTTTACAGAAGCTGGAGAAGGAGGGAGTTATTGACCAGCAACTATACTACAGACTATACCCTGGGGAAGCCATCCCTTGCATTTATGGCCTACCCAAAAAACACAAGGAAGGAGCCCCACTCAGACCCATCATCAGCAGCATCAACTCTATGACATACAACATAGCCAAACATGTGGCCACCGTTCTGGCTCTTATGGTGGGAAACACATAACACCACATATTAAACTCTCAGAATTTTGCTAAGAAAGTCAGACAACTGCAGCTGGACCAGGATGAGACCATGGAGACCATCACTCTGGTGTGATGATATATCACATCCTTGTTCATGTGCGTCCCCACCACAGAGGAAGTCAAGGTGATGAAGAAGAGAACGCTCATCAATAGGACTAACCTCACCCCAGACCAAGTATGCACCCTTCTGGAACTCTGTTTAAACCCACTTCCAGTCTAAGGGGCACTTCTATAGGCAGAAACACGGTTGTGCTATGGGCTCCCCTGTGTCTCCAATAGTTGCCAACCTGTACATGGAAGAATTTGAGGACAAAGCCCTGTCTTCCTTCACTGGAATAGCTCCCAGCCACTGCTTCCGCTATGTGGACAAGACATGGGTTAAGATCAGGATCCAGGATTCAACTCTGCATATCAACTCTGATCCAAGCATATCACCTCTGTGGATATCAACATCAGGTTCACTTGTGAGGATGCCACAGATGACTGTCTGGCCTTTTTTGACTGTGCGGTCCACATAGACGGAAACCTTAAGGTGGAAGTATATTGGAAACCTACACACATGGACCAATACCTTCTTTTTGACTCACCCCACCCACTGCAACACAAACTGGGAGTTATCAGAACCCTAAATCACAGGGCCTAGTAAATGCCCGCAACTGCAGAAGGGATCAAGAAGGAGGAATTATACATCTAGAATTCCCTTAAGGTTTGTGGATACACCAAGTGGGTATTCACCAATACAAGGAAGAGGAGAAACCAGAAACAAGAGGGGATAACACTGTGATCCCTTATGTGGCTGGTTTGTCAGAGAAGCTGAAAAGGATTTTCTGCAACCACAATATTCCAGTCAATTTTAAGCCAGAGAACACTGGCGACTGGTCCATCCGAAGGACAAAACACCCAGACACAGAGTGATGTGGTGTGTGCCATTAAATATAGTCAGGAGTGTAATGACCTATACACTGGGCAAACAAAACAGCTGCTGCACAAGCACGTGGCCCAACACACAAGGGCCAACCCCAGTGGACCAGAGTCAGCAGTCCACCTCCACCTGAAGGATAAAGGGCATTCTTTTGAGGAAGTTTGATTCCTCTCCAGAGAACACTGCTTGTTTGAGAGAGGAGTCAAAGAAGCAGTTTTTATCCAAATAGATCACCCCTCTTGTAATACCTGTTATACCCCAGTTCTTTAACTGAACAGATCTGAATGAAGACAGAGTCCAACTTGCTTTATTTTAGTGCTGGTTTATTTTAAAAGCCACAGTAAAAGTTACAGAAACACAACCCGGGTAGCTCCCTGCTCCAGACAACTGCTGGAAGAACGCCTTACACAAAAAGATATAAAAACCCACATCACGAGTTGGAGACAGTCCGGCATCTCCTTCTCATATCTTATGCTCCGCATGCTTCGAGCACTAGTCATAACAAAATGAAGAATTCCATGTGTCTGTATGTTGTATAGGTGATGTGTAACTAAAACATTCATTCAGACATAATTCTTACACAAGATTAATACAAGAAAATAACTGGTGTCAAGGTACACTTCTCAGAATCAACATTATCTTCTAACCTTGAAGCAGAGCACACATGAGCAGACTTTGAATCTTACTAAACTGCATTAATAACACATTAAAGTCTAACACATTAATGTCTAATAATTATCTGACTAATTTATTAATTTCTAACAAATCCCCCCTTTTGACACGATTTTTATTGTCAACCTAAATCAAATGTCCCTATTGTCCCCAGATTAGACATCCAAGGAGGAGAGGTTTTCAAATCAGCGCTGATCTCATTTACTGTCCATCCAGCTGGATCCTCAGCTGGAGAACAATGTGTCTTGTGGATCCAGTTACTTAGCTTGTTCTCAGTGAGCCACAGTTTAACACAGTGTGTGGTAGTTTCTGCTACCTTGTAAGGTCCTTTCCAACGTGGCTCTGACCAGTGAAGTTTATGCACCTTTCGATAGACCCAGCTGTCCACTGCAGCTGGTCTTGGTTCCTCAGGTTGGTTCCTGCTCAGCATGCTGTAAAAGAAGATTTGTTGAATCTCTAGACATAACAGTTAGAGGACAGGGCATCTTTCTCCCTGTCAGGATTTCATGTTGGCTTACATTAAGTGTCGTATTCGGAGTGGACCTGAGGTTGAACAATACAATAGGTAGAACTTCAACCCAGGTTAAGTTAGTGTCTGCGCAGACTTTCGTGAGCCCTTCTTTTATGGTTCTGTTTGCACACTCAACAAACCCTTGAGAGGTTGCATGATAGACAACCCCAAGCTTGTGTTTTATCCCAAACATCTGTTCAACCAGACGTAGATCATTGTTTGAGAAGTGTGTTCCATTATCAGATCTGATAATCTCAGGTACCCCAAACCGGGGATCACTTCCCTAGTGAGCCACTTATTTACCTCTTTACCTGTCTCTGTTTTTGTGGGTACCTCTACCCATTTGGAAAATGGATCCACACAGACAAGTAAATATCGTTTTCCTTCAACTCTTTTGTCACCTCTCATATGTGTGAAATCAACAACAATCTCTTTCCAGGGAGCATCTGGAACTGGAAATCCCCCTAGCCCCACCTTCAGCATGGTTCTGGGGTTGAACTGGTTACATGTCTCATGTTGCAACAAAGTACTTGGTGATATCCCTCAAATGTGGATGCCACCAGTTTTGAGAGATCAGACCATTCATCTTGGCGCTTGCACAGTGTCACACAGCAAACTCAGTAGTCCTGCCGGGGCTACTATTTTACCTTTGTGGTTTCTCCACAGTCCTGTCTGATCCTTAGACACTCCTTTGCCTAGCCACGCCTGCTTTTCAGTAGGAGCAGCTTTATTCTGTATTTCCCTGATACTTTGCAAGCTCAACTCTGTCTCACAAACATCACCCCCTTTTGACTCATCTGTTTAGCTCCCTGAGCTGGACCTTCTGGGTCCTGAATGCCTGTTTTAGGCTCCTTAAACTTTGACCCCTTAGGCCTGGGTCCTGTCTGTACTGAGCTTCCAAAGCTCTGACCCCTTAAGTTCTGGATCCCTTTCAAAACTGAGCTCTCAACACTCTGACCCTGTAGGTCTTAGATCTCTTTCATAGCTCCCTGAGCTACCTGATAACCAGCTGCTACCTTGGCAGCCAGATCCACTGCATTATTACCCCTGTTTATCTTGAGTCTGTGTTCTCTGATGTCCCTTGCACTTGATAATTGCCACCTGCTTTGGTAGCAACAATGCTTGATCTAATTCCAGTAACTGCTGCAAGTGTTTTACTGGATAGCCAGTTGAAGTCACAAAACCTTTTCTTCTCCAGTGGCACAAGTCTACATGTACTGCCTGTACTGCATACGCAGAATCTGTGTAGATATTTACAACTTTGTCTTTTGACAACTGACACGCCTGTATCAGCGCAATCAGTTCAGCCATCTGGGCTGAACTTGACTGTGGGATCACATCAGCTTGCAGTGTTCTTAAGCCAGCCGTTGTTTTCTCGACC